GCCAAGAGAGGGTCCATTCGATCACCTGGTGGGGGCGTGAGCCTTAAAATTTTATTTTAGTTCACAGGGGCAAGAATCACATCCCCTGTGATAGGCCTGACTACATCTCTGATATAACCTACTCTCCAGGAACAGAAGAAACAAGAAAGAAGGACAACTTGATGTCTAAATGATAAGGAAAACCCCCATCTGTTACTTGGCACATCAGCCACCTGAGACCCCCACCCCTCATGGAAGACCCACATCAGCATAACACTAACCTGTTACCTGGCCCATCAACTAACCTATTACCTGGTGCATCAGCATAACACTAAATCTACTATCTGGAGCATCAACTACCCTATTACCTGGTGCATCAACATAATACTAACCTATTACCTGACACATCAACTAACCTATTACCTGGCGGGCATTAGCCACCTGAGACCCCACCCCAACTTAATAAAAGTGGGAAATATCAGGTAGACTGGGCTCCGAATTTGGTGGTGAGACCCCTCTGAGCCGGCTGTCTGACTCTCCGTGTGCCACTCGGTTTGTACTCGGGACCGCCCGCGGTAGCACTTGCTGTAACATAAAGACTGCCTGCTAATTACTTCACAACAATTACTATTTTTCTCTTTGTCCGCATAAGAGCAGCAAGCCACCTGGCCTGGAGGCTGGCATCTCCCTTCTCTTCCTTTGGGGTGCGCCATGCCGTCTCTCTCTCCCCCACCACCCTCCTATTCTCTCTGTCCTTCTAAAGGAAATAAATTTTACTTTTATAACTTAATCTCTGAGTGAGAAATCTTTCTCTGCCCGCGCCGTGAGCACCTACTAAGTTTTCCACCCTAACGATGAGCCCACTCTGGCCTTGGGAGTTCTCCAGTCACCCCGATTCTGCGAAGCACCAACTGCAAACATCCATGCCTATGCAGGACTGAGCCAGGTTGGCAGCTACTTCCTTTTCAGATACAGTTCTTACAAAATGCTTTTAAGCTAAAAAAGAATAACGAATGCTTTGGCCTGTTGTTCTCTCATTGTCTCGTGCTATTCTCTTTAGGTTCCCTCATCTCTCAATATTCTCACGCTAATTTTAGGTTTTACTAGAACTTGAGCTTTATCAATGATTATTGAATACAGCAGCAAAAAGGCAAAATACGCTCTGTGTATTTAAGACTTAAGAGAAAAAATAGTGTTAGGCCGCCCTATCTCAGTGGTGGGACTTTGAGATATTTTTTATTGCCTCATTTTCAGAATCATGTCAGTGACTCCATATGTAAATATTAATAATAAATTCTAATATTCAGTATAAATTTTAAAAGATTAGCTGAACTCACCAGCATTCCTGCTTCTACCGTGCTCCAGGTCTGAGCAGACAAAAGAACGAGCATCCTGAGAAGAGAAAGGCTCTGGTGACAGGGTCTATGTTCACACTCACTGGGGCTCCCCCACCTCAAAACCCAACGCTCTGCTGTGAGCTGGGGCTTCTGGCCCGCTCCTCTCCTCTTTCCCCGGAGATCTAACCTGCAGCCACTTCCCACTCCCCTACCCCCACCCTCCACCAGCCTCCCTCTTCCCAGTGGTGACTGCAGAGAGAGCACCCACCCCCCTTTGGCCTGTTGTTCTCTCATTGTCTCGTGCTATTCTCTTTAGGGAACGCATTCAATTCAGACAGGTGTACTGTCCCCCACACAGAGCACCTGGAGCGGGTGCCTTCCTTAAAAAGAATGCT